GCGAGTGTAAAGCTAATAGTCTAGGGCATCGTGGTTTAATGCATCTAATATTAACTATAGTGATTAAAAATATTATGGAAGTATAATCAGGTTGGTGGTGTGCTGAAGGCACGTTATGCTATGCCGTGGGGATCTTTGTAGTCAAAACATTTTACTGTTCACATTGGGTATCAGCATGAAATATCCATTGTCAAATTACACTAAATGGCAAGCAGTACAAACATATTTGTGATAAATCAGATTCAGACTTGTAAAAATGATCTTAGTAAGCAGATGCTTATGCTGAGAATGGATAGGGAAGACGTGAGCATTTACAGTGTTCTGGGTTAAAAGATTGCTGCAGTACTTTTACATATTCTTGTCACTAACTCTGTCAAAGTTTTTTATTCTTTTACCTTAACTCTGCTAGAGTTTGTTCTTTGCCCTTTCACTTCTGCCCTGCTAGTTTTGCTTTCTCTTCCTCTGTTTCAGTTTTCACTCTCCTTGTTTTTTCAGTCATGGTGAGCAGGCTTCTGCAAAATGGGAAACTTGTGTTCTGGTCTCTGCAAACAGCCAGGAGTAGGGCTCCTTTTACCCTCTTCCTCTAGAGTTTGCTGTCCTGGAGAGGATTTTTTGTGTGTGTGTATGATATTTCATTTCATTTCTAGAAGAGTTGCTGTCTTAGATGCTAGGATAGATGGACTGAAATGATCCCAGTCTGAAAAGGGACAAGAAGATTTGTAGGAAATTTGATAAATTTGTGTGGGTGTGTTAAAAAAAAATCCCATAAAAATACGCAGTGGAGCTGTGGTAGTCATTGAATCTAGTGGCTCAATAAATGCAAACTATCACCCTGTTCTCTAGCTGCATGATTTTTAGCCTGTTTTATTTGTTCTGTGGTCCATGATGTTAAGTAATAGAATTGAGAATACCCAGACAAAGTTGCTTTTAATGACCACAAGCATGAGTTTCTGTAGTGTAACTGTCCTTAAAGAGAATGCTGGAATTACTATATGACTTATGTGCTTCTCCATCCCTCTGGAGAAGAGGAGATGGCAGCTCAGCTTCAGAAAGTTTTTCAGAATAGGCAGGCTGTTTCTTGATGTGAGGTATGCCAGATTGTCCCTGATTGTTTTTCCTTTTTTATTAGAAAAGATGCTATCTTGGTCTTTTCCAAATAAGAAGCATTTTTCTTACTACATACTCAACAAATAATGCAGTTAAGGTATCTCAGAATTGCTTGTAAGGCAGCCTTGTTCTAGTCTTGAAGAGTACAGCAATATATTATTTGAAGTTACCTTTTTAAAAACACTGCAACTAAGTTACAGTTGAAAGGAGAAGTGAATCCTAGAGGTCACAATGTTCAGAGGTTTCATAATATGGAGGTAGTTTTTCTTTGTGGTGTCAATAGAACGAGTAACTAGCAGCTCCCATAACAGTATTTGTATGTTGATACCATATAAATACTACATTTATGGGAAAATAAATGGAAAAGTTTGAGGTCTTGGTTTAAATTTTTAGTTTGACCTTGAAAAACATTCCCAGATGGAGAGAGTTAAATGAGCCCGGCTTTGAAAGAGGAACATATGAATCACGGTTGCTAGGCTCTTCCTGGAGAGGCACAGGCTTTACATTTACAGTGAAGTATTTCAAAAAGTAATCTTTAAACGCAGAGGAACAGTGCATTTGAAATGACACTGGTGAAATACTATAAACTTCATTAGACTTTTAAATAGAGAATATGCATGTCACTAAATGAAATAGGTATAAACGTTTAGATGTTAGAATATCAACTGCAAGACTTGTGAACTTTCATAAGTGGTGGAGGGGGGGACAGAAAAATTAGGCGTCCATCTCCTACTGTTGGTACGTACTACTTATGTAAGTTCTGTTAAACTATTCTGTATATTATTCTCTAACATTTGCATGGTCTAATTTGTCATTCTCCTAACAGTGCCACATAGGTGTTTGCCCCATTGGAACCCAGAAATAAGATTTCCCTGAAACCTGCTCTTGCTCTGCTCAACTAAAATGACGGTGAAGCACATGAAAGACATGGGAGCTTGTCTGCCAAAGGCTGAGGTTCCTGGGTCAGGAAGTGTGGATTCGGGTCTCTTCCGGTTATCTTAGCTGATTTGGTTGGGTCACACTCCTTACAGTTTCAAATTGTTTGTTAAAACTAACGTTCAGGTCTCCGTGCAGTATTGACACTACTTTTTGGCCGCCGGTGTCTGGTCTGTGGCCCTTATTGCCTGGTCTCCCGTGTTCATGCAGTGCTCAGTGTAGTCGGGTTCCAGTCGTCTTTGGGGCCCCATGGCTTACTAACCAAAGGATTTGATTGTATCTATTTTAAACAGATGCTTTGATAATATAAAGCTATAGTTTATTTTATCTCATATGAAAAAACAGAAGGAATCGCGTTTAGGACTCTAACCTTCACTGCTCCCTCATTCTGTTTAGGTGCTGCTCTGTTACCAGTGCTGTAGGAGGGTACTGCGGGGGGAGAAGGTCTTTTACGTTCATCTGTGTGATCTGGCTGGAATCTTGTGCGTGAATTCCTTTGAAATCATGGTTGTGATTTTGGGTGTCCAGCAAATGTGGTGGTTTTTTTTGTTTGTTTGTTTGTTTTTTCCCTCCTTGGTGTCAGCTGGTTTTACTCTTAGAATGGTTCTTTATGAGTTTGTTTATTTCCCAGTGTTTTGGCATCGCTTTCTGTCACTTGGAGCTTTGGTTTTAAAACTCAGAAGGTGTGCTTCACAGTGTAAAGGATGCTCATAAATTATTCAGATTTCTTGGGATCCCCAAACTGAAATAGGAAAATGTTTTTGTTTACATCAGTTTCTGCCAATTTATTTCACCTGTAGTTTAAAATTGCAGCTCTGTATTGCCAGCAAATATTCATAAAAAGGTACTTAAAGTGAGTGTAATATCTCGGACTAGTGCCTTGCAAGAGACAGAGAAGTAGGCAATCCTTTCCTCCTGTTAATGATTTCCTCCCTGCACTCTGTACAAGCTGGTGTAAAGTCTGTGAATCCAGTGTTGTCTGAAAGGTACGGTTATGAGAACAGGTTACAGGGTGTGGATTTACAGTTCGTTAGGCATTGTACAGTAGTAGCCTATCTGTGTGCTATTAACAGTGTAAATAGCAGGCAGTGCATGCTGTTATTGTCCCATTCATCATGGTGTATTAGTAGTCAAATGGAAGTGACCCTGGAGTATTTGCTTGCCGTGTGGAAACTTTTTTATGCGGGCATACCCAAAGAGCTCCTGCATGAAATATTAGCAATGACGTTTATACTTTTCTCCTTAACTAGCTTAATATTACATCACAGAAAGTAGATAGTGAAAAATAGAAGTTTATTATTCCTATTTGATTTTTCTCCCCAGCATATATTTACTCAGTTTTGCCTAGTTTGCACTGTTAGGTGTGCCTGAGGTCTTAATACTCTTTTTTAAAATAAATATCATATAAATAAATAAGCAAGAGTCAGTCCTTAATGAAGTGCAAATCAGTTTATAATTTATTTATTTCATGTAACATCAGTTGCGACAAACTGCCTGTGATTTAGATAAGTGTAGCCCTGATCTGTCACAGCCACATCAGATGTCCGTGGTCATTGTATTTGCGTCCAACTACAAAATCCAGTTGCAGCTGTTATTGCAGGTATCATGCTTAGTGTTAATGTAGCACTAATAAGGTTTTTGGAAGACCTGTCATAGACCTTATTTTGTAAAGAAAGGTAATTAATTTTTTTATGATAAAGATACTTACTACGGAGGGACCCTTAATTCTGGAAGCTGTTTGGTGTGGATACATTCTTTTGTCTGCAAGAAACGAAGTGAAGTCCATGGGGCTCTACAGGGCTGACAGCATCACCCTGCCAGTGGTTACCTTGGGTTATGGCACATTCGCTCTTAAAATGCAGCCCACTCAATTTATTTCGTAATTTTGCTAATGAACAAAATCATAGATGTTGTTAAAAATACACCTAGGTAAATTAGTAGCTTTAAAACAAAACTCTGGGGTCCGTTCTAGCACAGAGGTAAATAAGTTTAACTTAGTGATTAAGTTACTGTTAAGATAAATCTATTACTTTTTTTTTAAGAAAATAAGTTTTCTTATATCAGTTTTAAACCTTTAAATAGTATTATAGATCCCTTAGCCATGTGTTTGGCAATAATGAATTTATGCTATTATGTTTGCAGTTTCCTATTTTTTGTCTTCTAATGATTGAATAACATTTTTAGTTCTATAAATGTAATATACCTTTAAGTTGTGTAGTAAATGTTGTATTTAATGCTCCAGTAGAGTCTGAATGCAGTTTTAACTGTTAAACTATGTTCTTAAGAAACTGTATTCTTAAAAACAAAATTGTAGAAAATAATTTTATTAGTAAAAGTCTGCAAGTATGTGTGTTATCTCTGAAATCCACACATGCTCTGACATACTGTTATCTCTATTTTTCTCTCTTATATAGCTGTTACACAGATCTCTGGCAGCAGATGGCTGGACTATAATGCACTGTTAAACAAATAAAACCATTAGGCATGTAATACTGCCTGGTAAACGACTGTGTGTTTAAAATGGTTTAAAAAAATTAAATAGGAAATAAAGTTCATTTTTAAATTCATTTAATGAAATTGGAATAAAATCCAAACCCCTTTCAGAATACATAAACTATCCCCTCTTATGTTGTGGTTGTCATTTGAAGTCAGTCCTTTTTTTATTACATTCTTGCATCTGGTATAAGATAATCAGTCCTAAATCAGTTTTCTAATAGATGTTTTCTAGACGTAATCGCTCATTTTACATTTATCTTTGTAGGAAGATTTTTTGTTTTTGTAATACTCCAGCACGAAATTATCTATTGCATTATATGCTCTTTTTTTCCTCATTTTCAAATTTGATACAAATGTATTAAAATTATGATTCAACACTAGTGTCATGGCTCTGTAATTAAACTGTTTTTCAATAATTGTCAGCAGCTGAGAGATGCCATTTTGTCTTTTTGTTTTTAGATATGCCAATATTTGGTCTTTGCCCGGCTCATGATGATTTCTATTTGGTGATGTGTAACCACTGTAATCAGGTCGTAAAACCACAGGCATTTCAATCACATTATGGTAAGTGCTTAACTATTTTTAATAATTAAGGGTGAGGTTAAATCAGGATTAAGCCTGGCAATTTTTTTTTTTAAATTGATGGTACATAGATCATTACATTATAAATAATGTCAAAGAATATAACCTGTGTTTAACCATTTTATATACATTGTAATGCAGTTACATAAAGATCTTGTTCCTTTTAATTTTTTTAATGCCTTCTTGAAATGCTGCATACATACAGTTCAATTCTGAAATAACAGATATATAGTATATTTCACAGACAGTATGTGTAGTGTGTTTGTGTCTCTGTGTGTGTCGTTTCTCCTTGTGTATTTATACAGATTATTTTTACACTGGTTCTGTTACAGTGTGAACTATGAACTTCAGCTAAAAGCCAAACTTAGAAATTTTGTTGTAAAGCATAGTATGCTTCCACCAGCCAGTAAGCTTATTTATTTATTTTCAGAAGTATCAATTTGAATTTGTTTTACTGGTCCGATGGTTTTGTATATAAACTATGCTAGGGAGCTCTTGTTGTGTTGGTTGGTGTTAGCCAGTGTTTGTAGAGGACTGAGAAAATGTGAAGTGCTACGCAAGTTCAAGTGCTCAGTTACTTCCTACAAACCGAACTGGGGGAGGTTGGCAGTTCTTCTTTTTCATACTCAAGACTAGAAACTAATCTCAAACAATTTCATACTAATATTTGGATAGGAGGTTTTGGGCATTCAGCTTTTTGTTTCTTGAGAAATTCAGGAAATGTTTTCTAACCAAATGCTAATAAAAAAAGACAGGCAGGGCATCTTCTGAACTACTCCTTCCTCCTTCTGTGTGTGCGTATTTGTGTGTGTTACCTTTTTTCCTAGCCCAGCGCACCTACTGATTGCATCGGTGCTTAAAAGGATAGAAAATGCCGGATATAGTGGGGAGGCTCTTCTAGTGTTGAGAACAAAGGATAACTTTTATTGCATCTTAAATACTCCAGCCCCTTGGCAAGAAATGGCATACTTGCTTCTGCTGCTTCCCAGAGACTGGGAAGGGGTCTTCCTGCGCTGTGCAGAGGGTGAACTTCTTATGTTTTCCACCTCTCACTTGGGGTTTTTTGTGTTACAATGCTGTATGAATTATACCCCTACCCTTGCTGCTGGATTGCTGCAGTCACGTCGCACGGAGTGTCTTGGAGAAGAATCTGATAGGTCTTGTGACATAATTCTTACTAGTTTGGTTGCTGTTCTGTGGATGGCAGCAGTAATAGAATTTTTAAAAACTCCACAGTTTTGTGGATGTAAGTCTCCAGAGGTGTAGGGAGCCAGAAGAACAGAATGGCATCAGCTTTTCTTACTCTGGTTGTCTTTCTATCAGCTGAGAGCCAGTCCACCTCTTGCCAGCCTGATTCCTCACCTGTCGCTGAATATCAGGTTGGGATGTCCAATAAGTCCTTCTAAAATATCGTATTAAATTGATTCTGACAGTTAAAAATAAGTTTATGTGGGAGGACTGGATGATTCCCAGTTCCAAGTGTTGGCACATTGAATCTTCCATCTTGAGGTCAGTAATATGGAACTGGCTCAGGTTGGTAGTGATGGAGAGCTGTGGGTATCTGCAGACACTTTGGTTTATCTTTGTGCAAGAAGCAGGTGCTCTCCAAATACCGTCTGACAAACGGGTATCCGTACTGTAGGAACCAGTATTACTGTTGTTGGCATGACAGCCTTGTGGGCAGATTGAAGAAGCCGTTCAAGAACTGAATAGGTATGGCATTGCTGCTTGGCCGTGGACATGAGAACATGGGGTGTTGCAATGCTGCTTGTACCAGTCTTAAACTTGTTAGGAGAAGTCAAGTCAAACTCTTCTGTAAGCACTACCTCCAATTTAAAAGGAACGGAGTGAAGAGGGAACTACAAAATGAAGGTATGGAAAATATTTAAAAAAAAATAAAAAGAATAAATACTGATGTGATGTTCCCATTCTGTATCACGTTGTAGGAGCAAGATCTCTAAACGTGAAACTTTCTCTGATGTAAGCCTTACATCAATGGCAGACTGATACATTGAGAGAAATGTAGGAGGGGATGGAAATGACGAGGCTATTATTAGTATTTCTTAAGCCCATTCTGAACAATGAAGACGCTCACAAGGGCTGCGGCGTGCGGAGGAAACAGGCGGGGCCATTCTGATGAGAAAAACAGGCTTGGGTGGGGTGAACGTCATTAAATGACCTTAGTTTGCCAAACTAATAGCCTCAGAAAGGTAAGAAGGCTGACTGGGTGATTTTATGTAGAGCTAGTGCTCTCCTCGCTCCTTATCAGCCTTCACATTCTTGAAATCCTTATGCAGTTCTCTCTCATTTTAGCAAATTGAATGTGAAAGCTGATAAATATGGCAGATGATTGATTACCAGGCAATGGTGTATCTTTATTTTTAACATGGTGTTTTTATTTTTAACACTGCATACTTCAGGAGAAAGAAATTGCTGAAGTCCTCAAAACATACAGTTCTTTTAAAGCAAAAAAGTATGCCGTCGTGATAACAAAATAAAACACTCTGGATTCGTTAATTTGTGGCATTGTTTCAGGGACTGATAAAGGAGAAATTACTTCAAGTTCTGAAAAATTACAGCGCATCAATGAAGCCGTACCTTTGTGATGTTTTTAGGATTTTTTTTAAAGTTAATTTTAATTGTTACCAGAGAAGTAGTGATCTCTTAAAATACTTTACAGCTTGTGGTGGTATGTGTCGCTTGTACTTGGTGTTCTTTGAAATTTGTCACATGGGATTTTGTTTTCTGAAGTAGAATATGCTCTTTTAAAATGTCACTTTTGTCAAAGGAAGGCTAAACAAACTATTAGCTAAACCTAATGAGCTAATTAATTTCTTCCAAAGCATATTTGTGATAAACTACTTAACTCAGTAGGCTGAAAGTGCATTGCAGGGCATATGCTGGCTCTTTTCCCTGGACCACAAGTAGTCAGAAACAAGTTAAGTGTAACCTTGTTCATCAGAATATTTGATCTTTTAAGTAAAATACTTTATTGATACAAATCATAGATTTCTGTATGTAACTTTTATATTTTTGTGTGACAGTTTTATATTTCATGGGTTTGACTAGAAGAGATACTAATTCAAAATTAAATTCTACTTTTTGAGGCAATCTAAGCATGCATTTGGAGTATGAATATATACTGTCATTGATTTGTAAAATTTGGTATGCACAACACCACGTGTGGGTTAGATTTTTAAAAGCAATCTAATGTATTGAGACATCTGAAGTCTGTTTGTGGTATTTCTTTAGCCTGTGTACCGCAGCCGACTGTCAGTACACTCAAACAGTTTTACCCCCCTGGCGTAGGGCAGCAGCGATGCTGGGGATCTGGCGGGGCAGGAGCAGGCCGGCCAGCTGAGGAGAAGTTGTTTCAAGACAAATCCTCTATTCTGTCAGATCTCAGCTGCTTCATTTGTGGGGCTGGACAAGGGATTTAAGTCCTTTATTGCTAATATCCTTGCTGCTGCTTTTTGAATGGTTACGCTTTCATGGTATCAACATCTTCCTTGGATGGCTCAAGATCAATTCGGAGCTGAAAGATGGAAAAAAGGTATAATGTTTAGGCATTCAGTCCTGTGGGTGAAGCACCTGAGATAGCTTACCATGATGACTTATTCTGAGAAAACACAGTATTTGATCGTGTGCCAGCCTCTCCAACTTCCATGCTACATAGACCCTCCCCCTGTATTTAAATCAGGTATGTTTTTTAAGTCCCTGCACAATTTCCTCCCTTAAAATACAAATTCTTAAAAATTACTTTGCGCTCTGTCAAATTGCTAACTGTCACGTTCCTCAAGAATGCCCCCTTAGCAGACAGCAGGATGTTCCTGTATCACTTGTATTTCCTCTCTCTCCTTCCCATGAAAACATGCTAGATACGGTTTCTGTGCTGCACTGAAAGGTTGCTCTTTGAGGAAGCCACTGTGACAGTTATTTCAGGTTGTTCGTGGAAACCCTGAAGTGACGTGGTTTTCGGGCCATATGACCTTTCATTGGTATTTCAGCCGTTCCACGGGTTTATCGCATCTCCCTGTGGTTATCAGCCTCCTGTCTGAGGAGAGCTGCTTCTCTGCACCATCTGGGCTGCTTCGTGGCTCAGAGGTGATAGCTCAGCAGAGTGGAAGTAGCATCAGTGTAGAGATGTGGGGTTTTTTCCTTCTAATTTTTCATAGGTTTATTGCACAATTGTTTCCTCTGTGCCTTAGTCGCCGTAAATATAAAGTGGAGTTAAGCTCTCAGCAAGAATAATGAAGGCTACCTTTGAAACTTAAACTGAGAGTGCTTGTGAGTCATGTAGTAATTGTGAAAACCATTAATACAGTACATATTGGAAACAGATGATAATAGTGTGTCAGGCTGTTGAGTCATTAAAAAGCTATGCCCAGTGTTTTGATTAACTTCCACCGGTTTGGCATGTGGTGGCAAAGGCGAGCAGTACTGTGAGCTCTGCTTGCTGCTGCTCTGAGTGCTGGTGGGGAATCGCTTAAGCATTTCAGTTTCTGATCAGTGCATGTCTAAACCTGAAGCATTAGGATTCAGAACTGGGATAATACTACGGATTTGTCCACCGTCTGATTTCTAGGAGGTTGTGGACTGGAATAGAGAAGGTCATCACACAACCTTATACTCAAGCGGGGATAGGGCAGATCCTGGCAGCAGAGGGATGTTCACCTGTGTTACTTAGTTGGGTCCATCCCGCAAGTCAGTGTGACGTCTCTCGTGAATCTCCTTCGTCTAACTGTATAACTGTGCTCCTTCCTCCCTCAGGTCTCACACCCCCCGTTAGTTAGCAGGTTTACTACTTGGGCTGGTCATAAGGGGGTCTTGGTGTTAAGTGCTTGGATTGGGAGAGAACATGTGATACTTGTTGTGCTTTTAATTGGGATAAATGATCTGTTAACTATCCCTGCCAATATGCTGTTGTATTTCAGATGTTGTATTATAAGTAACTTAAGTATTACAGTCCCTGCAGCATTATG